CCACGACCTTTCGTCGCCGAGTCCGACGTTTCCGGATCCGGATGCCTGGTCTTGCGTGAGCGCGGGAAACATCCACGACGGCGCAGTTGGTGCACCGAACGATGGCGATTCCTCCGATAAATGAATTACGAGCGATGGTGATTCCGATAAATGAATTACGAATTATTTTGCATCGACTCGACGACAGACACAGGTAGGACTCGCTCGATGCTTTAGCGCTTCATGTGGTTCACTTTGGCCATGCAGCGCAGGATGATGAGCTGGAGAACGCCGATGATGGCCCAGAGAAGACCGAGGCTGAGGTAAATGTTGTCGTACGAGAACGCGCCGTGGAAGTAGTTGAACACGTACTGGTCGATCCGCACGGGTTTGCCTTCGACGAGGTCGCGCACCAACACATTTTGGCTCTTGAACTGCGACATCATGATCGTTTCGAGCGTGTAGTGCAGCGGACTAATCCAATAGAGCCACCGCCACCCCTTGGCCAACGACTCGCCGTCGATCATGAAGCCGGAAAAAACAAACAGGAGCGACGCGAGCCCGCCAGCCAAGAGCACGGCAACCTGCATCGACGGTAGCGAGTACACGAGAAAGTGGCCAAAGTACGACCACAGCACCATGCTCGACGCGAGTCCTGCCCAGAACACGACCCATGCTTCCGTGTCCGTGTTGAGCCCGGACAACCAGTAGAACCCGTGGAAAAAGATCGCCGACAGCACGATCGTGTACATGAGCTCGACGATCGCCAGCGACAGCGCATGCGCCGTCGCACAGTACATGGTCGAGAGCTTTTCGCGGTAAAACACGCTGCGGCTTCGCGACACGAACGGGATCGCGGTTGACATGGACGCAATGCAAATCATCGCGACCGCCATGAAGACCAGCGCCATTTGGTTGAGCACGTCCATGTTCGTCTCGACTTTCATCCCGTAGAAACACGACACGTAAATGAGCGGCATGAACACCATGAGGACCGCGCGCGAAATATTGTACGACGGACTGCGCCAATACGTTGTGCACTGGCGGGCAAACAGCAAGCGGAATTGCGACGCAAACGAAACCCTGGCGGCGCCTTTGGACGCGAGCTTGGTGCCCGTGGGCTCAGCCCACCGCGCGACAAGCACGTCGTTCTCCCGTCCCAAGTTGCTTTGCATGTATGCCGCCGCAAAATCGACGTCGATCTTGGCCCCGCCAGTCCCGGCACCGATGCAGTTGAGCATGTACGTGGCCGGGTTTTCGCTCGCGCCGATCGGGTCGAGCCCGGCAAAGTGGCCAAAGTACTCGAGCAAGTGCACGCTCTTGGGCCCGAGGTCCCCAAAGTAGACGAGTTCCCCACCCGTCTTGAGCAACAGGAGCTTGTCAAAGAGCTCGAACAGCACCGTCGACGGCTGATGGATCGTGCACACAACGGTCCGGCCCGACTCGGCAATGCGCTTGATGCACTCCATCACAATCGTCGCGGCGCGGGAATCCAACCCCGTCGTCGGCTCGTCCAAGAACAGAATGCTCGGGTTCGACAGGAGCTCGACCCCGATCGTCACACGCTTGCGTTCGCCTTGGCTCAGGGTCAAGTACTGGGCGTCGGCCTTGGGGGTCAGCTCCAGCACGTCCAAAATGTCGTCGACAAACGACTCGCGCAGCAACGCGGTCGTGTCGCTCGGCAACCGAAGCGAAGCACTAAACAGGAACGCTTCGCGAATCGTCGCAGTTCCTTCGTGCATGTCGGTCTGTTCGCAGTACCCCGACACGCTGTTGAACGTCTGGCGGACCAGCGGATGCCCATTCACAAACATGTCGCCTTCGATGACGCCGGCCGTCTTGCGGCCGGCAATCACGTCCATCAACGTCGTCTTGCCCGCGCCCGTCGACCCCATCAGCGCAGTCAACGTGCCAGGCTGGAAGCACCCGTGGATGCCCTTGAGCAATTGGCGCGTTGTCTTGTTCTTGCGCGTGCCCACGTCAATCGTGTAGTACAAGTCGCGAAAGCTCAACGTGACGGGAACGAATGGAAGGCTGTTGACACCTCCGCCGCGGGTGGATTGGAACGGGATAGCGACGGCATCGAACGGAACGTTGCCGGCCTTGCTGTCGGTTGTCGACTTGCCGGGCGCCGACGTCGTCGAGAAGCGGCTGCGGATGCGCACATGGGCGTACACGATCGTGGTCAGCGTCAACAGGACCACGTAAATCCCGACGAGGACGCCGACGGCCGCCGGAATAAAGTCGGGGTTGCGAGACATGCCAAACAAGTCGAGCGAGATGTCCCCGAGGCGGAACCGGCCAGTCGTCCCGTTGCTGAGCTTGACTGCGAACGGCGGCTTGAAGTCGTACACGCGGGTCGACGAGAGGAATTCGTTCTGGCACAGCGCCCGGAGAATCCACGCCATCGGGTTGGACCAGTAGAGCCAAATCCATCCGGTCGGAATCTTGGGTTGCGGCAGGATGTACCCCGAAAACACAATGTGGAGGAAGATGACGAGCATCGCGTACACCTTGGCGAGCACGGCATCGGGCGACAGCGCCGAGATGAGGCGAAACAATTGCGAGTAGATGGTCGACGCCAAATACAACATCCCGACAAACGTGAGGAACGCGCCGGCCGAGTTGGCGAGGCCGACGGCAAAGTACAACGGCGCGCTGAACAGGAATACCTGCGGGATCGTCCACAGGAGCTCCATGATGGCCTCCGACAGCGCGTACGTCGAGATGTGGAAAAAGTGGAATGCCGACTGCTTGTACAAGACGGCGCGGCGGTTGATAATGGCTTCGATCGCGGACAGCGTCGCCAGCGCCTGGAACATGGTCGCCAGATACAGCAGCCCGACCTTGATCGGGACAAAGTTCTTCTCGTCCAGGACGTTTTCGTTGCGGCCCGTGTCCAAAAACACCGTCCCGACAATCGTCCCGAGCACGACCGCTTGGATCATGCGCGATCGGTTGAACCGGGCGTCGCGAAGCGATGCTTTGACCGTGCGCCCGAACACGACCTTGAAGCAGTCGGCATACCCCATCGCGACGCGTGACCCCTGGGCGGACGCAAAGTTCCACGAGTGCTTTTCCGCCTGCGACACTTCCGTCATAAGGTTGTGAAAGACGGAGCTTTCCCGAAAACGCGACGCAAACTCGGCCGCGGTCGACGGCCGCTTGTTGTTCTTCATCAACCGGTCCGTTGTCGCGAACCGTGGTCCCAAGTGCGTCGTAACTTCCTGGAGAAAGTCGGCAATGTCCTTGCGCGGCGGGCACTCAAACCCGATCGACCGAAAGTACGACGGCAGCGTCGTCCGCGG